TATATCAAAATTCTACCAAAAGGAATTATACCAATCGAATCGAAAAGGAGTAATCGAAAAGGATTGATTAAAGTACAACTGACTAAAAAACGGGTGTCGGGTGTGCAGTCGCTCTTTCCTATGACGTTATAGTCCTGCTACGCTTCGTCTGGCAGTTCTCGCAAAACCCGAGTCCACTTTCCTGGTTATGTTGGTTTTTAATTATTCCGTGGCCTCATCGATACGGCAACACGTGCTGTCAATGCGTTACCACAATGAGAAAATTAAAAAAAAATTACTTTGTATCATGATCAAATTAAAAGCTGTACACTGCATACGTGTGGCCGGGCACTGTTTTGACAATGATTAAAAACTTTTATTCATACAATAAGTAAATTAAATAAGTAAATTAATTATAAGTAAATAAGAATTTCGCCAATTAAATAAATATTGAATTGATTAATATCTTTTACTATTAAGCTGGAGACACGAAAATAATCATAATTTTCTCTGATTGCAGTTTTATTTGTGTTTGCGCTTCATTTGCATTTGGATGCGTGCACCGCATTCAGCGCCAGTAAAACGAAAGGTCAGCAGAACTCGCAAAGCTCCAGCCCGACCTGCCATTAGGTCCACCGTGGTTACCCCAACGGAAGCATCCCTGGCCAATCGTAGATCACCCACACTAGCTGAACTCACCATCCAAATAGCGGAAATGCAGAGGCAAATTGCAGCACCCCACGGTTCGATAGGTCAGCAGGGTTCCAGTCAACCTGCGGGTAGTCGGCATCGGATGCATCGTGCCCTCTCCCCATCCTCCAACCGCATCAACCACTGCCGACGTTAAGCGCAAAAACAGCGTAATTTCAATGGATCCATCAAGCGCTCCATCCATCTTCGAACGCTCGGCGCACCGGTGAATAATTGACCAAGCCAGTACCGGCAACTCCCAGCGATTTCGCCGAAACTACGGGAACAACTACTCGATCACAGCCTGTTCGTCGACTTCACTGACCTGTTGCCCCAAAATCGCGTTGCGGCAAAGCGCGGCCGAACCGGGACCCGCATGGTATTGGACAAAACTACAGGCGAGCACACGTTCATATCTGCAGCCAAGAAGGAGAAAATTACCTCGCTTGCCAGCTGGAACCGCGCCTTTTTCGTGTCCATGTCGTATTGCACGCACTCGAAATCGGAGCTAGTTTTGCCAGTGCTAAAATACCTCGACCTAATTTCGCTGATGGCAGATCCGGCTCGAGGCTGCAAACTGGAGCACGTACTGGAGTACGGCATCCAGTTCCGTGTTTTGCCGTACAGTGCCTCGACGATCCCAAAATCTGGAGCAGGCGTTATGGAGACTCCTTCCAGGAGACCATCGCCAATCCGCGTCAAGCGATCACCCCGGTGACCGGAGCCGCTAACTTTAATATAAGCACAGCCGGACCAGGTGCAATCGCTGCAACGGAATCGGCCACATCGCTTCAAACTGCCAGGAGGAGCGTAATTCCCACGGAAAATCATCGGGAACCGTGGAAGTCTGCCCGAGTTACAACCGTTGAATCTGCTCAACGTCCTCCGTCAATGCCCGCAAGCACGCATGCGCCATCTGTGGTTCCAGCACTCATGACGAGCACAGACACAGCAAAATCAACAAGTCGCAAGACATTCCCCCACGAAATGACGATGCCACCGATGCCTAACTTCCTCGTCGCTCATTACCATTACCGCCTGTTTCTAACCTTCGCTCACGCAGCAATTACACATCGGAACCGAAACCGGCGGCCACGGACCGAATTCAACGGCTCCAGCACCTTCCGGACTCCGTTGTTTCGGTTCTTTGGGGTTTTAGGTGCAGGGATGGAAACCGGCAAGCGCGCACGCACCAGGTGCGCAGCCGGAGCTACTCTGTTCCCTTGCCGAGACCTTCCATATGCCCACCCGTCTCCTCGCTTCGCCGTAGATACGAATAGCATGCACATTAGTAACTTTTTACTATTACAGCCTAAGACTCAAAAACGTTCATTATTTTCTCTAATTGCAGTTTTATTTGCGTTGGCGTTTCATTTGCATTTGAATGTCCCAACGCGAAACTTTAAAATGTTGCGCTTCCGCTTTGCGCTGAAAGCAGTTGAGTGGTCGACAAGCGGACCTCACCTTAGTTTTACATAATTTTATTACGATGGAAATTTGGTAGTGGCTCAAAGTGTATCCGTCCTACCCCCTAATAACCAACAGCGAACAATACAAATCCACTAAAAAATCGACCCTTTACGATTTCATTTCTCCACAATTTTACATTATCCTTTAGCTGAGCGGCTATCCCTTAGAAAGCATGAACAAAATTCCACTCAGTGTCGCGCAGTTCCGGAAACAGTTGCCAGTGGCAAATGTCATTGCCCTCTTTATACTCTAAACAACGGCAACTATTTCATGAAAATTTAAGTAAGATTTGCAGCCGCGGTCGTCTCTGACTTAATCTGCCTAACAAACAAGCTTTTACTGCAAAAGCAAACAAGAAGATAACGTTATTGTTCGGTACTGTTGCGGATTAAACAAGAAGGTTTTCGACCGAAAGCAAACCACTTAGACCACCGGGTGCAGTAACCGGGTGAAATGATAACAGTTCATTGGGTTGAACCTTCAAAGACTCAGTAGCGATAAGCTATGGAAGCGTCTGTATGGACGATAATACCATAACAATACTGCATCGGCGCGAAATTAAGAAACTCTTTTGTGACTCATTCAGTGCGTCTGTATGGATGGCAGATTTGCAGCTTCTTTGGAGTCAACAGCGCCGCTTCGCGAAGTGTTTTGTAAAGTATCACTAAGTATGTATCACTACAAAGTATCGCTATTTTCAAGGTGACTTTGAAACTTTGGAAAACATTTGCCTGGATACAATACTTATGATCAGTTATTAAATAAACTAATTAAACCGAAAAACAAATAAACTGTCCGAAGTACTATTTTTCGTGCAACACCAAACACAAAATTTATGACAATTTAAATTAATCCAGGCTTTCGTTGTCAGCACTTTTGTACGCTATTTCAAGGTTCTACTTCTACCTTAGCCATACGGTATATCACAAGCATTGCAAGATCACTGAGCTGTTTGATTTTGCTAAGACCACTCGTCAATCACTACCCGTAGAGACCTTCAAGTGGCCGCCTATGTTAAGTCAATGGGCGACATACCTTCAAGTGCCTGGCTGCAGTTATTTGGCCCCAGAACCGATTTTCTTCCTGTTTTTTTGTATAGCCTGTTCAGTTCAACTTGCTCTTTACAGAGTACTTGAAAATTTTAAAATCGGTTGAACCGTTTTTTAGTTATTTACGTTGTAAAAAACCAGTGACGAAACGCTTAAGCCACGCCACGAGAGCCACAACACTACGCCAGCTTATTTCACTTATCAGCCGCACATGTGCGGGCGCAGCATGCGCACGCTTTATTTGAGCGGATATGAGCACAGAGGCAACCGGGATCAAAGTCATCATCAAACTAAGTCTTAAAAAAGTCATTACAATTTTATAAAAATCAAAAATTCAAACAATAAAAATTACGAATTAGTGAGCATGCGAAAAATCACAGGTTAATAGATAACTGTGAAAATAAAAATTCACAGGTTGATAGATAACAGCCAGCAGAGATCGTTGAACTGATTTGTAGAGAACGACGGGTACAAGTATGGAAAGGATTTTTAATCATTGTTGTCGTACTGCTACCCGGAGTCTATTACACCGGGAATTTGTATTTCACTTTCCTTTGATTTTTCGCATGCTTACTAATTTGTTGTGATTGTTTTGATGATTTGTGATGATTTCAGTGATTTTTATTGTTTTGATTTCTGAATTTTTTGTAAATTTCAGTGACTTTTTTAAAACGTAGTTCGATCCCGGTTGTCTGTGCTCATATCCGGTTATAAAAAGCGGGTGTTTGCTGCACCCGCACATGTGTGGTTGATAAGTGAAATAAGCTGGCGTAGTGTAGTGGCTTCCGTGGCGTGGCTTACGCGTTTCGTCACTGGTTTTTTTACAACTTAAATAACTAAAAAATGGTTCAACCGATTTTGAAATTTTCAAGTACTCTGTAAAGAGAAAGTTGAGCTGAACAAGCAATACCAAAAAACAGGAAGAAAATCGGTTCTGGGGCCAAATAACTGCAGCCTGGCGACTTGAAGGTATGTCGCCCATTGACTTAACATAGGTGGCCACTTGAAGGTCTCTACGAGTAGCTAAAGACGTATTTACAAATGTATGGCTTCGCACTTGTTACGTAATAAACTCCACTAGCGTTACGTGCTGTCCCAGGCACTGTACGTAGCTAAGTCTAACGTAAAAATCCCGATGTGGATTTTGAGACTTTATTTACGAAACATAATTCAAGTGACTGCTAGATGACTTCCAGTGGACTGCACCAGAGTGGACCATCTAGCATTAGCAAGCTTGGCTCTTATATAGCCTCATTCGGATAAACATCCACATTAAGAAACTTCTACAAACTTTCAAAGCTGTAGGTCACTCAATAAGAACATTAAAACGACATAACAAGAGATATAGAGAAGATGTTGAGTTAGCCGAAGCGTGATGCCGAGCATTACCTGCAATAGATTCAAGCGCACCAATCTTGTAATAATCATAATGATGAAAGTGTGATTTTTACATTCAATACCGTCGCGGGCTTCGGTTTTCTGCTATGACATTAAATTGCATTAATAAACCTCTCGATACAGCTCTGATCTCTGCGTGACATCACAATGATCACACACGTTGCATCGAATGCCGAGCCGTGCCGGTACGCGCACCGTGAATCAAATTCTGTGTCTTGGACATGATTATGCGGTCCGGTACGTACGCAGTTCAACGAACCGGTACAATATCGGCATCAGGTCGGCTTGCTTTCTGGGACCGCACCGGCAATAAAAGAGATACCTAATGACACAATTGGTCGTGCTAGTGACCGATAGAGATAGGTTGGGAAAATGGTTGGGCCTATAAAATAGCGAAATGTTGTTTGAAACCACCAGAAAAGTGGTAGTCTCAGCTACGTACTAAACTTTAAAGAAACTTGATTTTACTGCAAAACGACGTACTCGCCGGCCCGTATCGATCATGGCTAAAAATTCCAGCTGTATTGCTGAGGTAAGGCGTTGATAACGGTGACACCTTTACGAGCCGTGTTTACGTTAGTCACACTCTACTATGAACTTGTCTACCTCGGAATAATCATGCTGCATACATGCTCAATGTTGTATGGCGACATTTTGTTGTGCTTAGAATTATTTTTAAATAACTTTTTTGTGTTTAGAATTATTTTTAAATAGCTTTTTTGTGCTTAGAATTATTTTTAAATAACTGTTTTGTGCTTAGAATTATTTTTGGTGAATTAATATTGAATTTACCTTGTTTCGGAGACGATCGGCACGAGCACAATGATTGCTGGGTACAATACGTAGCATACCTAATTTTTCCGCCTCCATAACGTGATCTCAATCGGCAGGAACCCCTGGAATACATAATGGGAGGCTTCAAAGAATTGTCATCTAGTTTAACGCTGGTGTTCCAGGCCCTTCAGGATGGAGTTCAAGATGTGCTGCCGGGATTTGATAGAAAGCTGCGGGATGAGATGGTGCAGGCATTTTTGAAGTACAATCTGTTTTTGGGAGAAATGCAACAGTTCATCAGCTACAGTTTGACTCAGCTGGAATTCGCGGAGACACTGAAACATTTGTGCGATGCACTGCCACAAGACGTGCTGATCAAGTTGATAGATGACGCTAAGGCGCTGATAGACGTCTTCGCCCGCATGGAAACCGAGATTAAGTGCAGCCGCCAGTTCACCAATGCAGTCAAGGACTTCGCAAATTACAAGAAAAAAGTTCAAGGTTTTATGGCGGGTATGCAGAATTTTTCCACAAAATGATTCGTTGGAACATTTTGAAGATTTTAATGATTACAGGGCTTATGAAAATGGGTTCCGGGTTAGGCCTTATTGGAGGCGGGCTCTGCCTTTTCTTGGGTGCGGTGCCTGTCCTCGTGACTCTTGCAGGCGCAGGTGTTACTGCAGTGGCAGTCGGAGGCCTTGGGTATAAATACGGAGCTCGACCAACTAAGGAGTACGGCCAGTACAAGGATATTCTCAGTAACTTGCAAAAACTGCAGGACTGCTTAGTGGACATTCAGAATGAGCAACGAACTCTTCAGGGAACAGGAAAAGGCTTAGAAAAACTTCGTGACAGCAACCGTAGCACGGAGATGGAGAACAAAATCATTGCAAAAAAGTTACCAGAACTTGTAAACATCCTAATGAACATGCGCCAGGATGTAGAGAAAGGATATCTCCTGCTGAAACAGCATAGTTTCAAGTAGAATGAACGTATCATTCAAAACCTCTTTAGTGTACGAGTATGTTTCCGGTGTCGTCGTTCAGTTATGATTAGGCTTTATTTGTTCCACAAGGTGATTAGAAATCGATCCCTGTACAATTTCATGATTCTCGAAAATTTTATGCTCTAATAAATTTTCCTATTGCACGGTACTTATTACGGTTTCCTGATGTTTTCTTCTTACGCTACTCTGTGGTTTGTCTCATTAGTTTTTCTAGTGCAGCCAATGGCTATAATGTACAGTGGGTGTTAATAAAATAAGAGCACTTACAAAAAACTACGCCAAACACTGGATTTTGTAATTTAATGTTCTGCGGGTTACTTCTTGTGAGGGTACAGCTACAGTGACGAGTCAAAATTGCTTGTTTCCTTAATGCTTGCTAAATACCTATATCTCAAAATCTTTTAAATCCGGATCCCTAATCGCATCTCTTAAATCATTTACCACATAATCAGCAACCTCATGAAATCGAATTTTGCCCCATAAAAGCCAAAATTATGATGTCGTTTCCGGCGTTCTGCCTGGCAAGCGGCTGCGACTGAGTTTTAAATACGATTGTGCCAAAGGTGCACATATTTGCGCAAGTAATGTTCTACACTAACTGTTTTCTTCCCTGATAGTGAGTAACGTCACGATAATAATGACTAAATTACTACAAATAAATTTATGTTACGTGGCACAAATTTGATTATAATAATTTCGTCATTTTTATCGTGAAATGGCTTCATATTCGCAAAGGAAAACAGGAATCAGTAAATGGATGCATTTGTGTACTTACACATGTCATGGAAAAGGGAAAATATAGGAAAAATTCAATAACGCACTGTTCCCGTCCTATATATCTGTACTGCTCCGGTGATCCGTCCGGAAATTCGCGTCATGGCTGCAAATTGCGGCTACACATTCGTATGGTCATACTCCATTGGCTGGAGCATTACAAGGTTGGTGTAAAACGAGCTATATAAATTCCCCCTACTGGTACATGTGTTCGATCACCGTTAAATCCACATAGCTTGTTTCCCATTATCCCATATTATTATTATTATTATTATATTATCGGGGTAGAAATAATAATTTGTGGTGTTCTTTTAAAGATATGCATGTACATTCAGAGTACGTTAGCGTTTCCCGTATTGCATTTCCTGCCCGTGCAATAAATAAATACTGCAGTGAATCGGAAGGCTTTCGACCACCAACTGGTCCACCATCGACCACAACCACGCTCGACCACTGACGATCACGACTACAACCGACCACGACCACGCTCACAGCGACCGCGCCCCAACCGTGGTGACCACCTTTTAGAAACACTCTACTTCGACAGCTATTCCACATGTGTACAGAGTATGTACGACTATGTAGCTCTTTCTGCTTTTGCGTTCGTGAATTTTTGACATATTCCCAGCTGCTTCGACGTTTTTCCCAATTATACAATTTCACAATGTGCATGCGCGTACTGAACCATAGATACAGTGACGGTAATCCATGTGCTGAAGTTGAATCGAAATCGAAAATTTAATACGTTTTAATTAATCTTGTCTGCATCCTTGCATGAATAAAAGCGATAATTATCACGTAATGAATTTTTCGCAATTTTTTCACAATCCGTGTAATGTACATTTTCTACAAAATCTTATCAAAATTTATACATCGATTTCGCCCGTAAATTGCTCAAGCGCGCTTTACGGGCCAGCAGATTGCTCACCAGCAGCAGCCGCTCTCTCTTTTCTGTGTCTCCGCTCACTCGATCAGGTGCGCATGGCTAAAGCCGCAAAGCCGGTTTTGCGGCTTTAGCCATGTGCTGATGTCCATTTTACGTGAGTGAGCAACCAGCTGACCTGTACAGTGAGCTTAAGCAATTTACGGGCGAAATCGATGTATTGTAAATGTTTGTAAATAAGTATATTCGCTAGGAACGTTCTGCAAATTTTTCTGAACATTTATATACCGGACCGGAAGTGGTTCCACCAACAAAAACACCAAAGTATTTGGTTTTATTTCAGGAATGAACTACACCTACGCCTTTAAGATTCCCGAAGAGCAGGAGGAGTCGCGAAATTCACACAAGTTCTGGATGATTTGCCAGAGGACCTGGCAGAGGAAATGGATTGATCTGACTACTTATTTCGTGATGAGCTGTTGTCTCTCTTTTGCTGGCGTGTTTATAGGATATTTAGCGGCTAAGTGTCAAAAGCCATTCTGAAAAATAATTTTTTTGGGGGGAAGCTCCGCTACATTTATTCCGGTCTCAACGATGTTGGCTGCGCCCGCATTGGCCATATTGAAATTCATAAAGAAAGTTGTTCATCGATAAATAATCTATTGCATATACTAATTTCTGGAAAAAACCGTCGCATCAGCACCAGCTGTCATTTAGGTAAAATATTTAATGATACGCCGATACGATAAGAAAATAAAAGAAAACGTAGGAACAAAGTTGAGTGATCAAACAATCATAAGAGAGCATAAGAATAAAACAGAAGAAAACTTAAGAATAACATAAAAAAACTAAATTTTCCAAATATTGATCTACTCGCTCACATGCATACACGGTAGATCAACACTTTTACTGCATTAAAAAGAGGAAAAACAGTTATTAATTTTAACATATTTCAGTTTTCTTCGTTCCTGGCTAAGCGGGCAAATGAGCCGTAGCTCCCTTTAAGTACATAATAATTAGAATCGGTCGCTTAGGAAGACCGATCGATCTGCTCTGTCTATTTTTGAATTTTTCTCATATGGTTCGTACGAGCAAGCTGGTCTTCGATGGTACCAGATAATAACCGCGTCCTTCTTTCCTGGATAGGAATCAGCACCACGATAATTAATACACAGTAATGTACTATAATGATGGTTATGCCACCGTGTACTGCTCTAAGCAGTAATTTAGAGTTCTGTTTGTGGATTCAAGACGCTGCATTCCACAACTTAATTTTGCATTATTAAAACTAGTTTTCCTAAGTGCAGTACCATTTTCGTCTATCTGTATCTGGCGATATGTTGCGCAACAGGAAACTCCCGAATCATGCCCTTCGTCTTTTCGTAGAAATATAGCGCTGGCGTGGAGGCTGAACAAAATTATGAGCCAGCTAGCCGAGCCCGGAAACGACATGCTTAGTAGCAGTTCGCTTGCTATTTTTCGTAATGCACTGAAGCATGTTACCATTACTTGATTGCTTTCCTATTCTCAGTACTTCTCTTGTAGTGGCTTTTGTTCCAGTTTCATTACGATGCCTGTTATTTAGCCAGGTTCAAATTCCCAGACTACAATCTGACTAAATGAGGAGGCTACGGTCTATGTTAAAAAGCCTGCGAACAGCCTTTTTTGCCCGCTGAGGCTGATTGATCAATGCAGCCTCTCTGCTGTGACTATAAATAGACCGAAGACAGAGGATTTCAGTGCTGCTAAAAAGCGCAAGCTGAATGCTGCCTCGCTGTATCGACCGATCGGCACATGTGCGTGTGAGTGGGTTAATCCGCTCGCATTCACTTACACACGTATGAGTGTGGCCGTCTGTGCGCGTACGAGCTGTACAAACCGGTTTTCGCTGTCTTCGCTAGAACGCACACCCTAAACCCGTAGCTTCCTTTCTTGCTCGCATTGTAGATTTCGATCCTAGCCTTAAATGGGTTACCTGCCTGCCGTACAATAACCAATAAATAATAATATACCTAAGGTTTACGTCTGCTTTGCAGTTCGTATGACATATATTTCATCACGATTTCATTTAGGTAACAATGCTTTGCTGCCGCCGTGGAAGCGCTTCTACTGTATATTCATATTTGTGGTTAAAAGTCCTGTGAAGGAAGGGGGATGATCTCGACAGTATTCAGGGTGGAAAAGCGGAGGGGCGCACGTCGTAACTTTTCAAGTTTATATAAGTTCTATCTTTGACTTTACTTCTGGCTTGAGAAATTTAATTTGCCTTCACATAGAAGTTTTGCATGCTTGCTGCAATTGGTCTGTGGTACTCTGCTAATATCTTCCTGTGCAGCTTGATAGTATTTATTTTACAAACTGGTTTGAAGAGGTTCGAAGTGAAAACAGCATCATGGTTGCGAATACGAAATCTACAGTAAAGAAATCTATCATTAATAATCTATCATGGGTCTCACTGAAAAATGCCGGATATTCTGAGATACTTTTGCGTAAAATGTCATGCAAACTGAGCCAACAACATCAAAGATCTTAAAATCAAGAGTAAAAGAACTTAATTCGTTTGCTAAAATGTATTTGCATTTCGGGCGCTTTTATCTTGCCGTTTCTGGAATTAGTGCTGCTGCGAATGACATTAGACAGAGCAGCAAATGTCAAGTGACTCACGTTCCAAGGGGGAAGGAAATAGACCGCGTACAAGGTACCAATTTTAAACGTGTCCATGCATATAAAGTTTGTGCTTTTGCACAGTGGAAAAATTGCATTATGAAAATACAATTTTTGGAACAATTGCATTATGAAAATTTGTAACCAAATTTTTTGTAAGCATGGGCGTAAAAACCTTTCGTTCCTGGAATATCCGATTGGGCAGTTGATGACCAAGAAAATTCAAAAAAAACTCAAATAAAATACGAGTATTTCAAATTGTTATTCGAGTTTGCTCAACTTTACAGAATACAAGCATCAGCAGATTCAGCACACGGTTCACGCAAAGTCGCACATTACCTCTACACGAACCAATATTAAAACATGGGTAATTACGTACATGTAGTATTACTGTTGAGTCATTGACGCCTTTCCGTCACCGGTACCTGCAGACATTTTCCCCTTCCCATTTTGTCTCATTATACACTCCCGGCGGGCCATCCGAATAAAACTAATTGTATCCCAGTGATTCTGTGCTAAGAAACTTGTTTACCAGCATAAAAATGCCTTTGGCTTCTCCGCACTCAAACCAGTATCCTACGCGCTCTTATATTCTTCACATTTCACGTAAAATTCCAATCTACAAGAAAAAGTGTTCTGCAGGACCCAGCGAGATGTGCATGTCCTCCTTCCAGAGACCTCGAAGATACAGTAAGCTTATCCAATTTGGAATCTCTCTGCTCAGCTATGGGGTTTGTCCAATTGGGAACCTTTGTGCAGTACTGAATTATTATCGAGGTCTAAACAAATGTTTCCCGAGTGGCCAATCCCGACCACAGGAGGATGATGTCAGTCACATTACATCACAGTATTTCTTTATTAACACAGTTAAAATTCCGTACGCAGTCAGCGCGTTTTTGTCTACATGTACGAGAAAAGTTTCGACCCCAACGGCACGGAACA